AGACCCGCTGAACTTCAATCGTAAGATGGCTATAAACACGACATCAGTTCTGCAGGCGGGGAGGAATGTTTGTATTCAACTAGTGGCTTAGTTATTTTTATATTTATAACAATTCTCACTACAGTAGTAAACTATTTAGTTATACACGCCATATTGGCAAATCATCACTACAGACAGCCAATAATACACTTGTGGCAAGCTTGACGTTAGTCGATCTTTTGACAGCATCAAATGGCGTCGTGATGATGGTGACACTGCCTACGGAAGGAAACTGGATTAAAACTGACGAGGGGATAGAGACTTATAGTTAACTTGTGTAGTTTTCCTGATACTTGGAATTGTGGATTGTGAATATTATCAGACCCGCTGAACTTCTTTAATAAGATGGTTATACACACCAACATCAGTTCTGCAGGCGGAGAGAAATGTTTGTTTTCCACTAGTGGTTTAGTTATTTTGATATTTATAACAATTCTGATTATAGTGGGAAACTATTTAGTTATACACGCCATACTGGCAAATCATACAATACAGACAGCCACTAATACAATTGTGGCAAGCTTGGCGTTAGTCGATCTTTTGACAGCATTAAATGGGGTTGTGATGATGGTGCCACTGACTACGGAAGGAAACTGGATTGAAACTGACGAGGGAACTGTTACTTCGTGTCAATCAATTCTATGCACTTTGTCAAACAATATAGTGAGTGCGTTGTGGCTCTTGTCACTAGGTCATCATGCATTGTTGGCTTTTGAAAGATATCTCGCTGTATTTCACCCGTTCTTTCATCTCGAAAAAATCAACAATAGTATTCTAATGAAGACTGTCATCATCACCTGGATCTTATGTGTATCCTATGCAATATTGAATGCATATTATTACGGAGAACTATGGTTTGTATATTTTCATATATTTGTGTTGGCAGGCTGTCTGACACTAGTTTGCATTCTGCATATCCGAATATTCATGAAAACAAGAAAAACGTTGCGGCAGATAGCATCTATGCAAATAACACATCAAGACGCAGAGACGCCGAGAAGAAACTACAAAGCTTTTAAAACTACTTTTTTCACTTTATGTGGTTTCTTCAGTTGCACAATTCCCGCTTCTGTAACTTCTGCATCGGTTGTGTTCGGACAATTCAGATGTGCTACTGTTTTAGTCTCATTTGCAATGTTCTACTTTAATTCAGCTTTGAATCCAATTATAAACGCTGCTTGTAGTCGAGCTTTCCGGGAAGCATACAAAATAGTAATACAAAAGTATTGTTTGAAATTCTAACTGAACAAAAACGGGCAAGAAAAAATCACCGTTGGCGTACAGCCTATAGTATCCATTTTAACAAGTCTATTCAGATTTTGTGTTTGCACCTTTCTTTAATCTTTTAACAATGTTGTAAATTGCCATTATCAAAATAAATTAACATTAATAATAATAATAATAATATTGGAATTTATAATTAAACGACCTTGTGCACTATCAAAGATGCTGTGCATGTTAATGATAGAAAATGCGAGTTTTAAGTATATTTTTTGAAGGAAGCAACAGAAATGTTGCAATTCAACACAAAAGGACAAAAAAAAAAAATAAAAAAGACATCTTTTAAAAATTTAATTATATAAAATTAGTAATAAGGTGATGTAGTAATAACAATGTTGTTCAAGTCTTGTTTATATTAAATACAATAACACTACAATAACTACGTAAGGCTTTCATCGGTAATTTCATGTAGATTTGTAATAAGGCTGTTGAGATTTCTGACATACAGGTCTCCCTATAATTAAAGATCCTCTAAATAAGACCACCTCCAATTGATTTGCTTAGTCCCGAATGTCTGTTATATTTATTATCCTAGAGACCAACTGCTGCTAAAGACCATGGAAACTCTGGTCCCAAAAGTGGTCTTTAATTAGAGGTTTTAAAAACCACTACACACCATTATAACCATAAAACTGTTCAAGATCCATCTAAGATACAACATACAAGTCAACTTTGTCAAAATAAGAAATACTGAGCAATTTGTTGGAGCTTGCACTGTAGAATCATTCATAATATGCATATGACAAAAACCAATACAAAACTAGAAATGCTCATTTTACGCTGCACAGCAAAAAGCATGGCCTCCCTTCAGTGTGATTATTCTAAGAGAATAGATGAGTAGGAGTTTGAATCCAATTAGTCTTGCCACATTTTAGTTATCATGGTATCGAACAATTTAATACACAAGTGACAACATGAATAAATAAATATTTCTATAGGAATTATGCAAGTATTTAGCGTAAATTTCCACAATAGTGAAAATATTAATTATGCCAATGAGTTATTAGCATATTCTCAAACATACCAAAACCCTCTGCCTTCTTTTTGCATTCTGTAAAGTTTGAAACCAATCGGACTTGCCAAACTTTAGTTATCGTGGTAACAACAATTTACCCAACAACGACAAGGACAACATTGATGACAAGGAAGACATAAACAACATAGGCAATAATAGCCTCGCCGGAGCTTCGCTCCTTCAGGGAGGCTAATAATGATTTGTGGTGCCAAAATACGCTGTTGATTGAAAAAAAAAAACTAACATGAGATGTTATATAAAATATGACTTTAATTGGAGACAAAATCAAAGTCTCGGTCAAGACAAAATTTCATTTTTCAAAAATTTAATGAAATACCAGATTATTATTTACTCCTTCTTAGTTTTGTAACACACACATGGTGTGGAGCGCCACGCCATGTGTGTGTGTTATGAAACTAAATGACTAATAAAACCTTGCTTTTTTGTTATTTGCTCTGATTTACCATCGAGCCGCCATCCAGAAAACATTAGCCCACCGCACGCATTTTTTCCGCAGATGAAAATCGTGGGACACGTAGTTAATTAGTTGGTATAAGGACCACCCATACGCAGTCAACCGTTACGGCATTGAGTAATTCATGGCTTTAACGAACTGCCTAATGATTTTTACGTTCAACAAATTGGTCTGTGTTGTTTATCAGCCAGACAAAAGACAAAGCCTGTCGTTATTTCGGAACAATGCAACTGGGAATATTAAACTTGATACTTTCATGGATATGCTGGTATATCCACAGGCATATGAATTATTTTGTTAACTGTACTAAAAATTTCCGGTTTAAATGAAGATTAAATATATATGTACAGAAATATAAATTTTAAGCCTACGTCATTGTAGAAATTCAAGAAGATCAAGTATCTCTTTTATTAGTCGATCAATTAATGGTTGTGAATATTATGAGTTTGAAACCAAATATAATGCTGTAACTTGTGTCCTTTGTGTTATTTTGTTATGATACAATAATAATAGTTGATAAAGGCAACGATTCACGATGTCGTCTGTTTAACAACATAATTAATGACGAACAGTTTTTTTTTTATTCACTGGAATTCTTAACAAAATCGACTGTTGTGTATTATTGGTCATATCGTAGTAAGAGTTTAAGAGCGTGAGAAAAGAAAGATTCTTTCTTAAGGAACACGTATACAATGTGCCTGCTGTAATCATCGTGTTGGAAGCGAAGCCAAGTTTGTACGAAGTTTGATTATTGATTGTCTGAAGATGCTAAAAATCGTTAAGTCTTTAATATTTATTGACAGGTAGTATGAAACACACATAATCAGTTTCCAATTTTACAATACAGTATATATA